GAGCCTTAGCTGACCTCTTTCTTGGGACAAGCATTGTTGAAACAAGGACATGTGGCAAAACACATCCTTTTGTGTTTGTGCTGCATTACACAGCTGTGCTGGACAGGGCAATCTGTCATCTTGTATCCCAAGAAGCATTTCAACCACAGGAAGATTTTCTTAATCTCACTAGGCTCCATGACAGTTCTAAAGGTGCTGAGTAGACTATGCAGTACCTCTTATATCCTTACAATTCTGCACTGATGGCTGATCATGATCAAGATTTTTACTTACTTGTGGAATGATTTTGTTGCTTCTGCAACTTGCTTTGCATTAATCATTCGTTTGACCAATAAAAAATAGAAATGCTAACAAAACCAGTAACCTGGGTTGTGTATTAACACGCTTCTGGAGGAGTGTACTGCCCCTTCTCTACTGCAAAACAAAAAAATCCCTTTAATTAATGAATATATTCAACTCAGAAGTACTTTGAAAACCATGCCATTGCGAACAACACTAATGCAAATGGGCTGTTAGGAAACAACTGTACTGACTCACTGGACATCTTCGTAACTACTAAGTGACAGGTTGTCCATGATGACCCAAATGTGATTCAGGTAGATGGTGCACAAATGCCAAGGTGGCTCACATGCGGCGAGCTGGAGCCTACTGCTAGACAATTTAATTGTCAAGGAAAAAGATTCAAGGCATACTCGAAAGTTAGAAGTGACAGGGTAAAACATATTGGCTAATCCTTTGACTTCTGAGCTGGAAAGTGTACAGCAATGGACCAGGGCTTTGAGTGTTAAAGCCTGTTTGAACAGAAACAAGGGAGTATTAAGCAGAAAAGGCAGACGGGGCAGCAGCTGCAGGAACAGCTTGCAGTTTAGGGAGCGCTCCCAATTGTGTGATTAAAGGTATTCACCATATACAGACACATTCACCCATTTGACCTGTCTTTCCACCAGCACGGTGATACCATTTTCAGCTAAAGGGACTCACAACAGTGGTGACCAATTTTTGTACCACTCCTGTGAGAGAATAGCTCGTTCTCTTTACAATAGGTTTGCAGTGATGGGCCACCAACGTGAGGCAAGGCCTAAAGATCCTTCCTCAAAAGCACTGTTGCTGCATAGCGATGGCTTTAGCAGGGCCAGCCTGGGCTACACACTGTGTCATGTGAAGTACTGGTGGTATGTAAGTGCACCCGTCCAGACTGAGCTCTCCACGGTTATTATTGTACTGGCATCTTCAGGTGAACAGGACTAATAAGGACTGTACCAGGGAGAAAGGTATAGATGATTCAGAGGCTTTCCACTTGCACAGACAACTAAAAGGGTTAAAGAGTCCACGTCTCTTCTGTCCAGAAGCATAATTTGTTCTAGACAATTTCAGAGGCATTTTGTGTATTGACTTTGTATTTCTGTTTTAAAATCACATGGCATTTAGAGAGGTCAAAGCAGTTTCTTTTATTCTCTGTTCATTCTTTTATTTCAAAGGAATTATGCGACTACTTTCTGCTTGCTATTGTATATTATGACTGTCCTGCAGACCATGAATGTTTCTTCCGCTGGTTGGTTCACCTGATGTGCCATGAAGTTACTTGTGGAAGATCTGTAAGAATGGTCTCTGTATGTACAAAAGGCAGATTTTGAACCTAGCATCTGGTGCTGTGGCCTGTGGAAAAGGAAGAGAACAACTCACCTTAAACTACCCTTCAGAATTTTAGCAGCTAGTTCAAATCCTTTTGTGGTAGTATCTGACTGTGATCTAAATATCCTGATGCTTGAATTTAAGAAGCAACAGAAGCCTTGCCTTTCTTCTCTGCCCAACCCCTCTTTCCCCAACACACCTTTCTTCAGCTCTGTAATTCTTCGCTGTACAGATGCTCCGAATATTGCTTTTGAAATTAGTTTGTATTCCCACAATATGCTTGCTGAAGGTTTTGTTCCACTGATATGCTGCACAGACTGTGACTATGTCTGAGTTCCCTGAGCTAGATTGCTCTAGGATGAAAAACTGTTCTGTGAAACACTGCCTGTGGTCATTTACAATGCAGGCTGTAAGTGGCACCAGGCAATTGCATAGAAGTTTTTCCAGAATAATCTATTTCAGTATTATTAAATTTGACAACTAACATTTGAAGGATGTGTTATTTCTCTAGTTCCTTGGTAGCAGAATTTTCTCCATTCCTCAGACTTATGGATTCTGGTGGGAAGAAAGACTAGTGATATTGGTGGTCCAGCCAACAACAGGAGAGAGAAAAGTTACACTAAGTATAGTGTGGGCGTACAATAGCAAGCAGTCCTGCATATGCTGATCTTACCAAATCTTTTGAATTCACTGAATGGTGAGGCTGAGAGGGATCTGGCCTGTTGGTACTCATTACAGATGAATAATAACGAAATTAACTCAGAATTCCTTAGACAGATTCTGCAAGACTGAATTTCTCACTTTTTTTTTGTTTTATTTTCATGAGCTATGCCACACTATTTGCGCCATAACCAAATCATACTTACTTTTCAAGTTCTGATGTATAGCTTTTATAATTTTTTTTTTGTTTCAGCCATTTCAATACACTCCTTCCTTTTCTGTAAGGTTTCACATGCTATGATGAATGAATCTTCCATTCTAGAGATTTTAGGGTAAAATCCTTTCATACAGGCTTTTTTTTTTTTTTTTTTTAAGAATGGACTTATTCCAAGTAAAAGTGCATGTCTGACATTGAGCTCCATCCATCACTTTATTTGGTAAACACAGAACAGGCAGCATGGGGCGTGTCACAAAATTACACATGATATATTTCAAGGAGTTCGGCAAGTCTGCCCCAAGTACAGCTGAGAAGCTGTACTGTTACCTTCGCAGGTGAAGCTGATAAGGTAAGCATTTCTTTCAATTATGATTTTAGTTATAATCTGCAATTTTAAAAAAAAATTATCTGTTACAAAACTTACAAAAAGATTGATGTAAATTCATGTCTATGACCTTCAATATCAGTTGAAGAAATAAATTATTAAAGGATGCCTTCTGCAGAAACCTCATCTCATCGTCACATGTGTGTTCTGCATTATTTTGCTGTTCCACATTCTGCCATGCAAAAAGTCAAAGTATTTGTTTGCATGAACTAAAGCTTTGTTTACTAAGGCTTCCACACTTAAAAGCTGGTGATACGTTATGACAGCCTTTCTTCCTTCTTCCTCTATCCCTTTAATTTTTCATTTAGAATATAAAGAAAAAAATTAATTTGTTTAAATTCCACAGAATGCAACTAAGGCTCACTTACAGATATTCTGTGAATGAAATTAAGGAATGCAGCGTGTTCAGCTGACCCCAGCATACTGCAGCTCTGTGTTACCTTTCATAGTTACATTTTCTAAGATTAAAAAAAATTGCTTCATGCCTATGTTTCTTCACCAAGACCATAAATGGAGTTTCATGTCTAAAATATAATAACTATCAAAATTGGTAAATAATCAAAACATCTACCTTGTATCACCTATATAAGTGGTTTAATTTAGAGGGAGATTGAGCATCCATTCTGAGCAGGGGAACAGCTAGCTGCGCTGTTGTTCAAGTTATCCCACATTAAGAGATGACTGTCACATGAATGTGTTGATTCCATAGGGATTGTGATATGTATGGCAGAGTATCCTGGATTTTGTTCTCTAGCAGCCACAGAATGAAACAAATTAAAACTTACACTGCTTGAAGTCCCCAAGAGCTAGGGGAAATTCCATCTTTGCAAGGTTCTCTCTGCTTGTGTCAACATGTAGGAAGTTATAAGTGGTATAAATGTTATACTGCTGCATTAGCCTTTACGGTACTGTGTTTTCTACCCTGTGTTGTCTTCTTTACTAAAAAATCCTTGCCTTCAATGTTAGATTAAATGCTAGGTGCTGAAACTACAGGAAAATTTTACAAGAATGTCAGAAAAAAGGTCACAAAAAATATTTAAATATTGAAGATGTGAAGATCACAAATTAAACACAATGCTAAACAAGCACTGTCTTATTAAAAGATGGATTTTATGGAAAAGGTGATAATAAAAATTAAAGAACTCTTTTTTTAAAACAGAGTGAGATATAATTTGAGTCAACAATGAATGGAACATACTAGTTATAACTAGTTATAGAAACTAGTTTGTCATAAACTGGATGAATTTGGTAAATCTTTTGCAGTCTTCATTGCTGTGCCTTCATTATGCTACTTAAAAAAATGAAAGTGATGTTGCTACCACATGAGACCTCTGGTGAAGTAGTTGGTGTAAGAACCTAGCTTCCAGTTATACTAGGCTGAAATTAGAGTAAATCTAGCAAAACTTATAGTGTTTCTTCAGACTTGCACATTGTATACTGGAATTGGCTGTAGTTTGATCACAGACAGCTGATCTGTTAAGTGATCTTAAAAATGATGTTAAAAACTATAGTGAAAAACATGGTTTGTAGTCTCAGAAAAATGAAGATTCTGAGAACAAGTATATGTGGTTTTTATACCTTAAGAAATGAGAAAAGACTGTTAGTGAGCTTCTTTCGAGGTAACTAATATTCTTTGCATCATTTTCAACAATATGGTATACATGTACAGAGAAGAAGAAGTCAAGCTTCAAATAAAAGAATCACCAGCCTATGCATAACTGGTAGCTCTCTAGCATTTTGATTGTTCATGAATTCAAAAGCATGTCTGCCTTTTAAATCCACACCACTGGACTCTGTTTGCTGAAAAAAACCCTGTGCACCAAGTTCAGGGGTTTAAGTGCACCGACTTTCTAGCATTAAAATTAATATATTCCATCAAAACAAATCAGACTCTTTCTGTTTGCTTCAGACAACACCAGTTTCACAATGGGCTCTATCAATGCAGCAAATGCAGAATTTTGTTTTGATGTATTCAAAGAGCTGAAAGTCCACCATGCCAACGACAACATCTTTTATTCCCCCCTGAGCATCATTTCAGCCCTGGCCATGGTCTATCTGGGAGCAAGAGGCAACACTCAGTCACAGATGGAGAAGGTAAGCTACTTGCATGGATGTGAAGTGACCTCTGTTTGGGCTTGTTCCTTCTCAGTAACATCACTGAAGTATGTTACCCACTGATGGGGTTCTCACCTGTTTTAATGCACAAGAAATAAGCCAGTCACAAAATGGAGAACCAGATCAAGAGTGTTTAGGGAAAATACTAAAAAAAGATACATATTTTCACTACAAGGGGCAGTTAGTTTTGACTTAGGTAAAAAAAAATCTCAAGGACAATAGCAAAATGGATTACCAGTCAGCAAATTTTATGATGTGATTTTATTCTAAATTATGTCATCTTCCAGATAATGTGATCAGATTTTTTTAATACATAAAAAAGATAATTCCCAGAAAGAGAGGAAGGTAGAATACTATTGGCAGTAGTACTTATTATGTAACTCAGTTAATTTCTAGACATTGACTGGAAAAAATATCATCTAAACAAAAGTGGTACTTACAGTTTCCAAGAAGGCCACAGGGGGCATGAACGCGTTGCAAGCTTACTTGTAAATTTTTAGTTCATCTATGTTCTTAGTTAGTTAGCACTTTTTTTTTTCCTGAGCCAACAGCTTTACCTCAAGTATCGTGTGTAAATCTCAAATTCACATCATTTGTGGTCATGCTTGTGATTTCTAACACTGGCATTTTCTCTTGCAGGTTCTTCACTTTGATAACATTACAGGAGTTGCAGACCCTACTGACTCCCAGGTAGACAAAATAACTTCATCTCCCTTTCTGTCTTATTTTCTCCTCAGAACAAAACTAGAGCTGTTCTGCCTCTCCTCCTGGCAGTTTCAGACCCTGTCAAAAAATTCTCTCAAACCAAGGAGACCTGTGGAGGGAGGCAAGGAGAGTGTAGCTCACCTATTTGTTAAAAAGCAGGGAAAGAAGGCAGGTTGCACATCTTGCACCAGAACAAGTGACTGTGTGGGGCAGGATGCTTTGGGCACCAGGGTGCCTGCCTGGGCACATGCTGCTGGGGGACAGCATGTGAAAGGGGTTCAGCACCTGGAGCCAGGGTACGGCAGTCAGACTTGCAGCTGAGAGACTCTAAAGCAGGCCAGGAAGATGCTGGGCAGAGAAAAGCCCAGAAGTCTCAGTGACAGGAACACAACTGCATGCTTACAAAAAGCATATTTCAGGGGACTTATCCTGAGAAGGATGAACTTGTTGGTTCAATGCACCATCACCACTGCACCTGCTGTCCCAAAGGTGACTGTCTGTGGGGAGGTCTCCACTTAGCTGGAGGACATAACTGATAGGGACAATCCTTTAGGATCTTATTTCCTAGATAAGAAGAAGCTAATGCAATGTGTCTTCTTATTTTCATGTCATCACCTCAGTGTGGCACTTCTGAATACATCCACAATTTAATCAAGGATCTTCTCTCAGACATCACTGTGCCAAATGCTACATACTCACTCAAGATCGCTGACAGACTCTATATTGAGAAAACATACTCCATTCTTCCGGTGAGTTGTACTGTGACCTGAGTTCGGCGAGATTCCCGATAAAGGCCCCTGTGACTCTACCCTAGAGAAGCATCACCAACAATTGCCCGCTGTCTGTTGATGAAGAGGTGGTTGTGAGCCATGAGGGGAACTGGTTCAGAACGAGTTTGAACCTTCCTGTGGCTGCTAGGTAGAGGCCAGGCAAAACTATAATGGCATAAAATATGCCCATGTTGCAACAGTCACAGGGAGCAATCAAGATTGCTGTTGACTTGCTAGGAAACGGCTTTTAATGAAAAACGTAACTTTTAAGAAAAATTAAATACATTTTACGACTTGAAAGCATGAGGACTGAAATTGTCAAATTTGGATCCTTTTTCAAAGCCAAATATCAAACCTTCCCAGTGAAATGAAGATTTGGTTTTGAAATCTGAGAATGTAAGAACACAATATTCAAAATAAAAAGTGGGCACAAAGACAAGGAAACAAACATTGTCCTTAAAAATGTTTGTTAAACTGGAAGTGCTTTGCTAAAATGAAGAAAATATTTCAAAATTTTAACTTAGAATCCTATCTGAAAAAAAAAAAAAGACCTAAATATGTGAAGTAGTCTTTCTTGTTGAGCTTTAAGGTTCAGTTACAGGAAACCGGCTGTGACTGACATGTGTTACTGACAGGGGTAAAAGTTCACTGTTCTCTTAACCATTCTGCTTCATTTCACGATCTCGCATTTCACAGTCATACATTTTCAAGTTCTCAGCAGTCTGTCAACTGCAATCCTTCTGCTTACAGGAATACTTAAATTGTGCAAAGAAATTCTACAAAGCAGGGCCGGAAGAAGTTAATTTCAAAACAGCTACAGAGGAAGCAAGACAGCTCATTAACTCCTGGGTGGAGAAAGAGACAAATGGTAAAGACTGAAAAATGGGTAGCAGATATTTTCCCCTACCTACCATAATCTATACCCTTGTCTTCCTCTCCTCCTAATGTCTGGAAAAATTGGGTCAAGCAAGAGCAGGTTGCTTATTGCTATGAAAACAAAACTCCACAAAGCAGCAGCCCCCAACCCCATGCCCTCATTGCAGGCATTTGTGCACACTAGAGGAGGTGTACCTTACCACTCGCTGTCCTGCTTCTTTCCTAAAGGACAGATCCAAGATTTCCTTGAATCAGGCTCTGTGGATCTCGATACTGTGCTGGTCCTTGTGAATGCCATTTTCTTCAAAGGGATATGGAAGAAGGCGTTTAAAGAAGAAGACACTCGGGAAGTGCCCTTCAATGTGACAGAGGTAGGAGGGCACAGAGGTAGGAGGGCATGGACACAGCTTCTGGCCAGGAAAGCTGTTGGCTCACACAGCCAGCAGTCTGGGTGTTACACATACAGCCTGTTGCTGTCACAGGATGGCTGGTTTAGCTGGGCCCCTCACTGTCAGTGCCTGGGCCTAAGGCCAAGGAGTGTTTGCAAGAGCTGTATCTGACCAGGCTTCCAGAGCACACCAGCAGGCAAGAGAGGAAAATGCAGACACAGCTCTTCTTGAAAGGCTACATGCTTGAAAATCGAGTCCTGTCCCTTTCAAAGGGCTTGTACATTTGCCTGCCTAAAGAAAAAATTGCTCCCCGGTCACATCCTCTCATGTTTCTGTTTTTGCAGCAAGAAAGCAGACCTGTGCAAATGATGTGTCAGAACAGTACCTTCAAATTGGCGGTGCTGGCTGCAGAGAAAATTAAGGTCCTGGAGCTTCCGTACGCCAGCGGGGAGCTGAGCATGTTGGTGCTGTTGCCCGATGACATCTCTGGCCTGGAGCAGGTATGGCCCTGGCAGGGGAAGCAGAAGAGTTATCACGTCAGTGGGGCTCGGCTGCCGTCAGACCTTTTGCTGTCCATTTACATCCCAGCTGCCCACACCAAAGCTGGGGTGGGCAGGCAGGGGAGCACAGAAGCCTCCCAGGTGCTACCAGGTGCTCATGAAGAGACGGGCCTCTTAGGAGAGTACAGGCAGTGATCTCCATAGGTGCAAGAAACAGACATGCTAGCATGATTTTTTTTTTTATTTCAAGTGATTTCAGCCTTCCACGAGAGCACTCAGTGGTTTGCTAAACTAGAAAAGTTTATCCAGCAAGAAATATAAAACGGAAGCGATAAGGAAAGCATTCCAAGAGCTGACTGAAAGGAAAATGGTAAAAGTAGCATTAAAAGGAACTAAGATGAGGGAAGGGATCAATAAAATATGCTCCAGGAGGAGCAGTTTTGGGGCCAATTTGATTTGATGTTTTCAGGAACTGTATTTTCACAAAAAAAGCCTTCATCTGATGAAGAAATTTTTGGATGACAATAGTTTTGGAGAACGTCATTAAGACAATGAGCTATAGGTTATAGTCAGGAGGAAGCATACAGGATAAACAAATACATTTAATATTAAGTATCAGTTCTATTGTGTACACAAAGGAATGGAAAAAAAAATAGTAACAAGTGGTATAAACACAGCAATTAAGGCTACTGCACTCTTGTCTCAGGCATTTAATTCCCTGCCTCTCTTTGCAGCTTGAGAACAAAATCAGTTCTGAAAAACTTACGGAATGGACCAGTCCCAATGTGATGGAAAAGAGGAGAGTGGAAGTGTACCTCCCACGCATGAAGATTGAGGAAAAATATAACCTCACATCTGTCTTAATGGCCTTGGGTATGAGCGACCTGTTCAGTCCTTCGGCCAATCTGTCTGGCATCTCTTCAGTAGAGAGCCTGAAGTTATCTGAGGCCATCCATGAGGTGTACATGGAAGTCAATGAAGAAGGCACCGAGATATCAGGCTCAGCGGAGGTGATGGGAGACATCAAACATTCCTCTGAGTCTGAAGAGTTTAGGGCTGACCACCCTTTCCTTTTCTTGATCAAGCACAATCCAACTGACAACATCCTCTTCTTTGGTAGATATTGTTCCCCCTGAGAAGAAAAAGAGGTGGAAATAATGCTTGCCTTCCCCCCAGAAACAGACCCCCCCTTACTGCAGTATCGTTGTATAATCTCATCGCTTCAAAATTTTCTCAAAGTGGAAAGCCTTCAATATCTAGGGAGATATTCTTGAAGAAGTGTGTGACTTTTCAGATCTTTAGGTGCAGGAATTTCTGCTCACACAACTTGTATTCAGGACTTATATCAGAATTGAATGAGAAGTTCAGGAGGTAGTTTAGGAATATTTCCATATTTCCCATTCAATAACTTGAGAGACAGGACCAGTGTTTTGATTTTGGTGAGAAATCCTGCCAGTGCTATTGAGAAACTGGTTTCTCTATAGGAGTTCTGTGAAATAAACAGAGATTTCAGAATCGTCCTGGTCCTTTCTGATGAACTTCCTGGGCTACCATCCTAGAACTGATGCTTGGACAGCTTGCAGATGAAATTCAAAACTTTAGCAAAGCATTCTGCTTCCAGGATGCATTTGGGCTTCTTTGTGCTACACATACTATAAGGCTGTATCTCGTGTTCTGCTGAGCTAAAGAAAGTCTACCATTTCTTCATAAACCATCATCTCCAAATATAACGTGTCCCTGACTGATATAATTTCCCATCTTCATTCCAGTGACGTATCATTGATTTATGAATGTTAATTGGTGGTACTTCTATTTATTCTAATAAAAGCATTGCAAACTAAACGTGTCATTATGTATTCTGGGTTACTGCACCAAACAACCTGAAACATGATACAGGGGGTAGTGATTATTGACAGAAGTGGTTTAGACTAGGATTTGATGCTATTTTAAAAACCAGAATGTACCCATACATGAAGTCACTAAACAACTTAAGAATGTTTTAAAAAATTTTGTACTTAAGCAAGGTAAACCCTACAGCTCCTATACTTACCTTGAGCTTATCTCCATATAGCATATCAAATAGCTAAATTATTTGAAATTTTCATTGTATTTCCAGATAGTTTTAAAAGACTTCCTCTAAGTAAATATATCAAGGTGATGCCTAAGAGATACAACTTCAAAAACACGAGAAGAGTGTTTGTCTTAAAAGATGGGTTGCTTCAGCTCTCTCATACCCACAAGAATCTCATGAGGAAATCTTTATTATTGCCTCCTGATATGATAATCTTCTAGAGATGTTATTTCCTATTTCACAGTCTTTAGACGGAAGGTTCTATAGGTTACAGTTTATCTAATTAGAAAGATTATTAGTGTTAATGGCTGAGTTAAGCAGCCTCCCTTCTGCTGGGATACACATGCAAAACTGCAAATTACGGTATCAATACTTTAAAAGTGTTAAAAAAGGGAGACACATGGCTCTATTTGGAGTTGCCTGAACCATTTGCAAAGTCATCATTAAATATAACTTGAAATGATGATGCTGGCAGCAGGGAAATACATTTTCATACCTGCTATGAAGTTCTATGGGAGAACTGCAAATACTGGTTGTCCCAAGGCAGTTGTAAAAGATTAGCTACAATTAACACAAATATTCAAGCAAGAAAGTATTTTAAGAGATATGACATTTCAAGGTTTACTGTATACATTATGTTGTGCTTCCTTAGAGCCAAAAGAAGCCAACAGAGTTTTGCTGTAATTTAAAAAAAAAAAAAAAAGAAAAAGGCAGGACTTCTAAGATGTTGCCCTAAGGAGCAGAGTGTGTAAGGTTATTAAGCAATTATAAAATTGTTATTAACCTGATGTAAGCATGTCTGTCACTCTGCACTTTCTAGGTACAATAATAGTAAAACTATTAACATTTATTATGGAATTATTTATTACATAATGTGAAGAAAATAGCTATTCTATTGCTTAACCTTTCTTCAGCTTCACTATTATTTTGAAGTGAAGAAAAGGAGAAAATCAAGGCAGAAATGGTAAGCAGCTTCCTAAAACTACACGAGAGACATTTTCAAGGCACAGAGTCCAGCTAATGTCCTCACTGTGAAACAGAAGCATTTGACTCTTGTTTTAAACTGCTCCTTCAGGTGTCACTAGGGATACGAAGTGATGCCTATCAAGTCTTTTGAAAGACAGAGATCTGTGGAAAACTAGGTTTGGAGCTTAATGTAGGTTCCAGCTGTGTACTTATTTTAATCTTTGTGCAAGCAGATGATTCTGATCAGTGGCATTGTGCATGGAACCCAGTAAATTTTTAAGAAAAAGACAGAAATATTATTTGATGAAAGTCCAGAGGCATTTTAAGATGTCTGTGCCCTGAATGAAAATACAATATCACAGTCAAATACTGTAGAAAGGATAGAGCTACTTGGTTTATGAAGAAAACATCCTCCGTAGAGGCTAAAATGAGAGGCAAAAGTGGAGATTCAACAAATTTGAATAAAATCTATACCCCCCCGTATCGATGGCTGGGCCCAGAACTGCACCTGTGCATTGCTGGTCTGGGCCAGCAGGACCTGCTGTAAAGGAGCTGCCATGGTGAATGTAGCTGCTGAAGCCCCCATGGGAAGCAATTCTGTGAAGAGCAACATGGAGGGTGTTACAAGGGGATGAGGGAAGAGCAGTCATGAGGGGAGCAAACACTGCCTGCTGCTTCTGAGCTCTGAAGTTCAGCAAGAGTTTAAAAACATGAAACATAGTTCCCACAAAGTCTGGGCATTGTCCAATAATACTTTTTGTTCCCTGGCAGCATGACAGAAGTTGGTACATCAATAAATTGCCATCTGTCCATCTGCTACACTCCATTTTCACTATGTGCTGTGAGTACTGCTAGGGGTCTGTGGAAAAAGAACAGCCCCATGCAATCACATTCTTTTTAACACTGTGCAGGACAGCATTAGAAGTGCTCTGTGGACTAAGTGTGCCTTTCCTTCTCGTGTCATTTGGGGGAGGGTTGGAGCTGACGTATCTTCTCTGCCCTTTGGGGAATATAATTTTCTGAGACCACTCCACACTTGTCTGCAAATTTGACTTGAAAGAAAGCCCTACCTTCTCCTAAACAAACCAAATCCGTGGCTTAAGGCACAAGACTTTGCAGGCAGTATGCTCTAATCACAGTCACCAGAGGAACAGCACTCAGAGAACCTCCTGGACTCCAGGGGGAAAGCTGTCCTGGGCTCCCGAATGATATTTGAGAAAGCACAGCATGCTGATGAATCAAACTGAAAGCTACATATTGGCTGGGAAGGATTTGACACCGAGCAGTGGTTCAGTTTTCTGTTTCTTGTGGCTAGTGGGCTAAGATTCTTCAATCTGGAAAAGAGACAGCAGAGAGGCGATTGTCGAGGAGTGGCAAGGGTGAGGCTGCTCGGCAAGGGAAGGGGACCCAGGGCTGCAGGTGACAGCAAGGCCAGCAAGGCAGGGGCCTCCCCAATAAGGCATTCAGTGCTACACTTCCCAATACTACTGCCGCAGTCCAGTGACTCCCAAAAAACCTGTAGCGATGAGGCAGGTCAAATATCACGCCTGGAAGTTAAGTCCACGTGTCAGGGTCTGTAGTGGTCCTAACCTGAAGAGTGTTGTACATTGAGGAGTTAGTGACCCACATAAAAGTTGATCTGATCAGACACAGGTATGTGCTGTGCTGTGCTATGCTATGCTATGCTATACATATCACTTGGCCTCCAGGCCTACACTGTGCTGAATGTATCACGTGGCTGCAGGATAAACAGCCTGCTAGTCATAATGGAGGAGCTTGCAGATGGCCCTGGATTGGCACCTGGTGATGCTGCTGCTGGCACATCCTTGTCTTTTTCTTGAAGTGAAGCAGCATGTTTCTATATAAATACACTTTTCTTTGATGGTAGAAAAGATAGATAAACAAAGTTGTTTACTTCTAAGAACATACCTCTAAAAGCTGTAAAGATCACACCACCAGTGAATCTCTGCATGCATGGGATATGCTCAGTGTGCTGTGTCCTGAATAAAGATCCATACAATGCCACACAGCATGGCATTCCCACCATCTGAAGGGACATGAAATTATCTATGCTATTTCCTTTTTCCCTCTCATGTTATCTCCAATAAATGCATTTTAATCAGTTTCTTGCTGGTGGTCAAAACAAACACTTACAGTGGAGCATTACAGGGGTCCAGCTCAGTGAGGTTCACGGCCAGGCCACCGGCATGCAAGATAGCAAGGACCGCAATCAAAAGACTCAGTTTAAATACTTCTCTCTGGTGAGGGGGGTGTAGGCCCCCATGGAGGCATCTCACAGCTCTATCACAAACAGTGCTCTGATTCAAGGCTGGACAGTTGCTTCAGACGTGCCTGAGCCTAGGCAGCCAGACTCCTAGGAGAGGGATGATATTCTCAAGAGCAGAGATTTCTGAAGTCCTGGATGATATGGAGACGATGACAGAGATTGACTAATTAGTATCTCTTCTGACACAGGAACTTAAGGGTATTAAAAGAAGCTGGTAGAAAGCAGTTTAAAAAACTCACACAGAGGTAGCTGACAGCAAACAGGTAGCTGAATGATGGACCTCATTGTCAATCTGGGTGCTGAAGATGATAAAATTTTACATGATTTTAAAGGGAGACTTGACAAAACCATGGAAGATAAATCCATTGAGAGGTAATAAACATATGGAAAATACTACCAGCTATTGAAGTCCCAGGACTGAAAACAGGCAATATTAGGACCCTGATGGCATGACCAGCCTCAGCAGGATTGTACTCCAAATTGTCAGACAGTCAGAGGAGCATATGGCATCTCTGCTCAAGCATAATTAAGAAAGCGTGGCAGAAGAAATGTGAGAGATGTGTTTGGAGAAACAAAACAGAGGAGACACATGGAAGGAGATGTTATTGAGAGCACAGCTGAAGCCACACTCTTGGGAGGAGGTGCTCCATTCCAGAGGAGGCACCTCTGAGGGACTGCAGTCACAGGCAACCCATGCCAGGGCAGTGACACCCCAGAGGGCCTGCAGGCCACAGATGACTGACACTGGAGCAAGGACATCTCTGTGGAACCCCAGCCCATGGAGCAGACTAGAACACAGGAGAAAAGT